GTTCCATAATATTTTCTTATAACAATCAACTTGAAGGAAGTTATAGATTATCAGTCAGGGATGTGATAATGAATAGAAAATTAGAAATGACAAGGAAGGAAATGGTCATGGATAATTATAGTTTCAGTCCCAGAATTTTGGAAGGACTGAGGAAAATCATCAGTCACTATAGTTAGTCTTTGGGATGAGAGTCGAACTCGGGACTTCCTGAATGTGAAGCAAGGGTGCTACCCGCTACACCACAATATTCATTTCCTTGTTACATATTTTGCATTGTTAGTTTAATGTTCAGCCAATCACAGTGGCCGCGCTGTCTAAGGCATGAACCGTCTTCGCCCACTTGAACACTGGGATCGTGGGTTCGAATCCTACTAGAAGCATGGACGTCTGAATGCGTTTATTCTGTCTATGTGTTATTCTTTGCGTAGGTAGCGGTCTGATCTGACGGTCTGACGGCTGATCCCCCGTCCAGGAGTCCTACCGACTGTGTATAGATTAAGAAACTGAAAAAGCGGCCAAGGTCCAAAGGGCTGTAGAGCAACAGAGAGAGAACGGGAGTGAGAGAGAGTTCTTGTATTCTTATCCCAGGATTTTCAAGGATGTGACTTTGTACTAGAACAGTACATTTGGGTCCTTAAGGTTTATGGACTGCTCCGCGTTTGGGAATTCCATGGCTGGAATCCCCCAGCTCACTTTGCAGACATTTTTATATGGTTTTTGTCATGGGTATGAATTTTACAGTCTCCTCCCTCCTTTTAAATGACACATGCATTTGATGACATTTGACTGCTATGTGTAGCAAATTGTGGGTCTGATGTCAGAGTATTTTTGAAGATATGTCTCCCATTATGAATCACTGTCCTCAGTGGACTTCTAACTTGGAATTCAGTGGGTAGGGCGAGGCAGTCCGCGTGGAAGAATGTGAGAGTGCTCGGAATACCTGATCACTAGCTGCTTGTTACCTGAACAAAGTACAGTGCACTGTAAAGTGTCTGTAAGAAGTAATGCCTTCGTGTATTTTACTCTTTAATTGCAATGTAGCAACATCACATCGGTTCTTTCCTTTACCGCTTGACTGATTGATTGGTTTATCAGGTATTAGAACATCAAGTTTTGTCCCTTGCTACTGTGGCCCAAAATGAGTTTGTGGTACAAGCCCCTGATGAAAGATGGAGTATAGGCTATTAATGGAATGATAATTGGCAGTGGAAATCGAAGTACTTGGGGGGACAATCCTGCCCTGTGTCATTTTTAAATCACAGATATTGCATGGACTACCCTGAGATTGCTCTCAAGGCCCCACACAGACTATCAGTCACACATAGTCAGTTTGCTTAGTACACATTACCAGGATAGAGTAGTCGGTATAGTGACTGGCTATCGGCCGGATGACCAAGGGGATCGGAGTTCGAGTCCTGGTAGGGTCAAGAATTTTCTGTTATCCACGTCGCCCAGACTGGCTCTGGCGTCCACCCAACCTCCTATCCAATGGGTACCGGGGGTAAAGCGGCCGGGGCGTGAAGCTGACCACTCAACTCCGTCTAATGCCTTGTTCAAGAAAATGCGGATCTATACATCCACTCCCCCATACGCCTTCATGGTGAAGTACTTAATTACTTAAGCGCAGGGACAACTTTACCTTACACATAAAGACGGTGTTATGAAACATAAAGTTCTTATGGCTTTTTATATTTACAGTTTCTGCAACGGAAGTATCAGCTTTTTTAAGTGAAAAATATACAAATAAATACATGCATAGTTCATGATATGTTTGTCATTCTATTCTGCATTTAAAAGTCTAAACCTGTCGTCAGGGAATTAGTGGATTCATATCATGATATATACTAATTAGTTTTGATCCAGAACCGCATGCCATACTGCCCTGGCACTTTGTTTTAAATTCTGTACTTCTGTCTAAGTCCAATCTTGGGACAACGCAACTTCCTGTGCAGTTGTATGAAGGCTCTTTCTTTGAGAGTAAAACAGCTGGAGCATGAAGCTTACTACTGTTCTTCATCTCATGCCAGGATGAATCCATTAATGATCATGATGCAAGTATTTGCAATATATTTGCAAGTACGAGGGTTGGAATAGTGGCAACTATTTATTTACAACTGATACAAAATAGATGCATGTTTCGAAGTTTTACTGTCCTTCAGTGTAGTCACCAGCATTGCGTACACCCCGTTGCCAACGATGTGGAAGTCATAGGATGCCTTTAGCAGCGCCTGTTGTGTTGATAGTTCGAATGGAGCGGTCTACTGCCTGAAGAATCTCTGGAACAGTTCTGAAGCGAATGCCACGAAGTGGTTCCTTCATCTTAGGAATCAAGTCGAAGTCACAAGGGCTTAAGTCCGGGGAGTATGATGGATGGTACAACACTTCCCAGCCCCATCGATCGAACAAGTCAGCCACAGCTTGCGCTGCATGCGGCCGAGCATTGTCCTGCAAAATGATGGGTGGGTTCTGCAGAAAGTGTTCGCCGCTTCTTTCTCAAAGCTGGTCGCAGGCTGTGTTCCAAAAATGAAGAGTAATACTGCGCATTGACGGTCTGCTGTCGGGGAACGGTATGCGTTGGGTTAGGATAACACCATCACAGTCGTACACGAGAATCACGGTTCTGACGAATTTTTTATTTACGTGGTGACCCGTAATGACGCCATTCGTTCGATTGGCGTTTCNTGGCGTCCCTCATTGAAGGCTTTTACCCATCTTGCCACTGTTCTGTAAGGCAATGCAGATTCCCCGCAAGCCTCTTGAAGACCTTGATGACACTGTCGTGCTGTACGGCCTCTGGCACATTCAATATTTATCCAACTCCGTTGTGCCTGTTTTGAAAACATAGTGACAACACTACATTAGACCGTAAGCTAACACGAGGCTCTGTTCTTCTCTTCACTTCGCATACGCGTGATGTGAGAAGGGAGAGTCCATTTGCTCTGAGGTAAGGTAGGTATGTAACTAACGTGTGGTATAAGCGACATTATTTGGTTCCGTTGCATGGCGTCTCTACAGCAGTGTTGCCACTATTAAAGTTCCAACCCTCGTATTTACTAGGCAATCCTGACACGACATGACAGTTCTTCATTGTGTGATGTTTTAAAATTCTTCAATCTCCTAGGTAGGCATTTTATTGAAATGCAGTAAAAACCAAATGCCTATGACATCCCATAGAACTACTTGTGACAACATACCATCAAATCCACTAAGACAACTTGCCATGAATTTTATTTTTAATATTTCGAAAATACTTGACCTGACAGGATCGCCACTCCACATAAACACTTGCCAGTGTTACCTCCATTGTACGGGAACAACTTTATCTCTGCGTGTGGTTTGTAAGTTTCTAATGACAAAAAGATTATTGCTGTTAACAAAGAGCTTACATTTACTGTTTATTGTGCACTGGTGTTGAAGCATGCTTGTCGACATGATGCAAGTACCTGACAGTTAACCCTTCCTCATATGGTTCCCACAGATGCCATCCCTCCCTGTAACATGCGTGACACATACCGGTGGGCCCCTGCATCTCATCATGAGGAACACAGTTTACATATTGCCTGTGCTTGGCATATTATAGTCTTAACCTTTCATCTCATGTTTACATTTCGGTCACTGCTGCTCTACTCAGTGTGTATCAACGTCATCCCTTCCAGTATTGGGCATATTGAGACGTCTTAGATATTACGAAACAGAATCCTTTTGTTTCAGAGGCCTTCCCAAACTTCTTTCTTCAATTTCGTTGATATTTTAAGTTTTTAAATTTTTTAGTTTATTCTGTATTGTTCAGAACCGCCTCTGTGGTCTAGTGGTCAGAGTCCCTGGCTACAAATCCAGAGTTCCTGGGTTCGATTCCAGGCGCTACCGGATTTTCTGAGAAGTAATGGGGCTGGAACGGCGTCCATTCAGCCTTGTGAGGATAACTGAGGAGCTACTTGAATTTAAAAGTAGCGGCTCCGGTCTAGAAAATCGAAATTAACGGCCGTTGGGATTCGTTGCGCCGACCACGCAACGCCCTCTATCCGCTAAAGTTGGCACTAACTTCAATCGGTGGTCGCTCGGTCGGTATAGTTCGCTTGCGGACTAAAGCCATGGTTTTTTTTATTCTGTATTCTTCTGTAAATTCAGTTAGGCCTAGTGTGAGGTTCTATCCTATAATTTTCCGGGATGGACAGAGGAAGACCATGAAATAGTCAGGATAATCATTATACTGGCCGAAATTGAAACCTGGCAGCTCTTGAACGCAAGTCAGAAGTTGTTACATCTTGAGCCAGCTTCCTCTGTCCTCCCCTGGTGAGTAAATAATATTACCATTTTTCCACTCTCGCTTTTGCTGTTGAGCCTGATTAGCCCAGTTTTTATAGCAACTAGATGACAGGCTGGATGATCAAGGGATCGGGATTTGATTCTTGGCAGGCACATGAAATTCTTCTGTCCTCCACAATGTCCAGAGCTAGCCAAAAGGGGCAGCTGTACAAAGCAGGCAGGTTGTGAAACTAGTCATTCACTTCTGCCTGGTGCCTAGCATGGAGCTATATGTACACTCCCCCATGGCAAGGTCCTTAATTAAGCAGAGACAATTTTATTTTATCCTTTTGATGTCTTTAATGGCGTGACACAATGTGAGAGGTTAGGATAATGGTCCTAGGAGTGGTTGCAGCTATTTCACCACTATGAATGAGAGAGGGTTGAAGGCCATAGGAATTATCTGATAATATGTATATCACATCAAATTGGAGTACATATGTGAGATTGAGGTTCTCACAGCGTTGAGTACTTACCAAAATTTTGGGGGAACTTGCTGGTTCAATCATCAGAAGACCATAGTTTTCAAATTGCAGTATACTTTTCCATTTTGTGTGGGCTGGGGCAGTTCAGACAGTACAGCAACATGTTGCAGTCTGAANGTGCTTAAGTAATTAAACATAGAGACAACTCTGCCTTTACCTTCTACTTTTTCCACTTTAAGCATTGTTAAATAAGTGTCTCTTGCTTTCCAGGAATATATGTGGCACCGTAAACACACTTACATGAGGCTGGATGGCTCATCCAAAATCTCGGAGAGGAGAGACATGGTGGCAGATTTCCAGGCGAGGTCAGTGATTAAAGCTAAATTGAAAAAATGGAGGCCTTGTGGTTCACAGAGTTCTAACGAGTTTCTGTTGTATGTGTTTCCATTTACAGGGAAGACATCTTTGTGTTTCTGCTGAGTACTCGGGCAGGCGGGCTGGGCATTAACCTCACTGCAGCTGATACGGTAAGTCTCAAAAGTTCTTACTGCTTGGAATATGAAGATTACTTGCTTCTGAGTTGTGCTGCCGTGAAAGGAGTCTACTGTATTCATCTGCAGGGTAGATGAGTAAGCCATGAAAATCAGGCTGTAGATATGGTGAAAAGAGAAAAAGGAATGAACCTGCTAGATGGTTCCTGTGTTTGACATGGCATCTTTTTCACAGGACTTGGTTTATTGACCTATCGGGAGCTCTGATTGATGCCACAATGTTCCTCATAAAAACCATGAATCATCCAGTTTTTTTCTCTTCCGCCACATCTTCAATAAATGTTTTCCCTCCTATTTTGCTCTTCAAACCATTTTCCTCACCTCTTTTCACCTGAGATATTTAGGTCTACCCCCTGTCTTCTCTTGTTCTGCTCATACCCCTAGGTCCTTTCCTCCCCTCCCCATATCTTCCATGAAGATGGAGGGTGTACATTCTTTCAAAATGTCGGTTCTATTCCATCAAACTGCACAATGTCACATCCCAGATGACAGTAATCTTCATTCTCATTTTGTGTTTGACAGATGATGTAGTGATGGTCATGGTTACATAAGGAGATTTCTGAGGCAAATTGCCAAGAGATCTCTCCTTCCACCCACTACTGCAGTCAGCTGAGAGCTTGTGTAGCCTATTGTCTGTTAAAAGTTTATCACAGAAGCAGTGTCACAAAAGATTGTCGTCGTGGTGTACACCGGCTTTTGGTGACTAAGCTATGGGCTTGATGATCAGCGAATCGGGATTTGATTCCTGGCAGGGACAAAATTTTCTCTGCTTCACAGCATCTGTACCAGCTGTAGGGCCCACCCACCGTCCTTTCCAGTGGTCAGTTGGGCCTGGCTGGGGCATGAAGATGGCCATTCATTTCCATCTAATTCCAGTGTTAAGAATGATGGAGCTATACTTCACCTTCTCCCCCCCCTCTTCTTCGTGGCATGGTGTTGAATTAGTTAACCGCAGGGACAGGCGAATCTCATGTTACATGCTTCCTAAATTAAGATTTCATTCCATCCGTTGTTCAGTTTCTGTGATTCTAGACCTCTTATTCCTGTGTTACTTTTTATGTTTTATCAGTAAAAAATATATCCTAATAGAGAAAATTACACAGTGAGGGGCTTCATAGTTTTTATGTGTCTTCTGCTTTTAAGATGATTACATAATTTTTTTGTTTACTTCTGGTTTATTTTATGATGATGTCAGCTTCTCAGACTATATAGCATTCAGTGGTAGTATGATTAAGTAATAATGAATTGAAAAGTGTGGAAAGTAGTGGTCATTGCCAAATTTGAGGTACCATTCAGAAATTTTTTGTGGAGTACTGAAGAAAATCATGAAACGTATCAGTCAAGACAGTTGTTTGACTGAATCTTTGGTGAGATGGGAAGGACATATAGCATTCAGTAAGGAAATTCCTCATATATACAAAATATTTGAAAATAGAGGATATACTTGGAGAAGATCAGTTTGGGTTTAGAAGAGGAAAAGGAACCAGGGATGCAATTGGGATGATGAGAATTATAGCAGAACGAACTTTGGAGATAGATGAAGAACTGTGTGTTTGCTTCATAGACTGGCAGAAGGCATTTGACCTTGTAAACTGGACCAAATTAATGCAGATCCTAAAGGAAACAGGTATCGATTGGCGTGAAAGAAGATTGATCAGCAAATTGTACATGGATGAGAAAGTTAGAGTACGACTGGACAGTGGGGAGACAAGAAGTGTGCAGATTGGAAGAGGAGTTCGACAAGGATGCTGTTTATCACCAATTCTGTTCAACTTGTACAGCGAATGCCTTACCAAGGAAGCTCTGGATGGGCTCGGAGACTTCAAA